TCCTGACAGAAGGTGATAGAAGGACTCTTCTCAGACCTGGCCAATGTGGAGATTGGTTTTGCTTGACCGTGTATATCCGACACAAGGATTTTATTTTTCTTTCTTTCAAATGGGGGCAACAATGAGATCACCAAAACACTTGGGAAAAGAGGACCTGAAGCATTTAAAAACATCTATGAGAGAATGGAATGATGGTCAGTAAGAAATACAAACAGAACCCATTTGGAGATATGCTTAGAGAAAGGCATGTGGCAAAAAAGAAAAGCAAGCCATTCATAATACGGGTTCATAGTTTCATGTACTGTTCATTCTCTTTTCCTTTTCTGCTTTAAATACGGAAATGTTCATCTTATTTGGTGTTGGTTTAGAATTTTTTTAAAAAGAAAAAAATAATTCTACAAGACTGAGTTTAACTGCAATTCCTAGCTCAATTCTAGAACAGATCACTAAAAAGAACTGATTGGCTAACATCTAGAAAGAGGAGGGATTATAAAGAGCCTGGTCTGGCTTCATATAGAATAGGTTACAAAAGAGATCAAAGAAAAAGGCAAAGAACCTGTACGTACAAAACTGTTCATAGCAGTTCTTTTAGCGGTGGCAAAGAATTGGAAATTGAGGGGATGTCCATCAATTGGCTGAAGAAGCTGTGGTAGATGATCGTGATGGAAGACTACCGTGCTATAACAATGATGAGGGGGGATGGTTTCAGAAAAATATGGCAAGAACTGATGCAAAGTGAAGTGAGAACCAAGAGATCACTGTGCACGGTAACAGCAACGTTGTATGATCACTGGTGAAAAAGTTAGCTATTCTCAGCAATATGATGATTTAAGACGATCCGGAAGTACTCAAGATCCACCTCCAGAGAAAGAACTGATGAATTCTGACGGCAGATTGAAGGATACTTTTTAAATTTTATTTTTCTTGGGTTTTTTTGGTCTGTTTTATTTCACAACACAACTAATATGGAAATGTTTTGCATTATTACACATGTATAACATATAAAACTGCTTCTCTTCTCAATGAGGGGGAAGGGGAGGGAGAAAATTTCTAACTCAGAATTTTAAAAAAAATGTTAAAAATTGTTTTTACGTATATTTGGAAAAAAAAATTTTTTTAAAAAGAAATCACAGCAAAACCAGAACTGGAAATAAAAAGGATAATCAGAAAAAAAGAAAAAAAAAGAACAGGTTATGCCAGGTGAAGCTTATTTCCAGTTTCTCACAGGATTACTAAACTAACAGACCATAGGAATGCTGTGAACAGAGCTTATCTGGGTTTAAGCAAAGGTCTTAATAAAGTATTTCATACCTTTCTTTAGAAAACATGGACAGATATGGCTTAAGGTTAGTAAATAATACAAGATGGATTCAGAACTGGTTGGATGGCCAGACTCAAAAAGTGTCTGTGAATGTTTCAAACAGCAACATAGCAGGTCTCCAGTGTAGTACCACAGGGATCCATTTAGCTCTGTCTGACCTTTTATCAGTGACTTGGATAAAGGTCTACGTAACAAAAAAGTGGGAGGAATAGCCAATACCCAGATAGAGTAAGGATCCAAAAGGATCAGCTAATTGTCCTCCAATTGCAGCCAGGAGAGAAGAATGGTTTTTACATTTTTAAATACAACACAACTTTATTTAAACTATCTTAGGGCGTGCAAAAACACGGGCTGGCCCTCAGGCTGTAGCTGGACAACCCCTGCTAGAACACAGAGCCCATTCTAATTACAAGAAATTCAACAGAGATTTACAAATGTAAGGTCTCCCACTCGGGTACCAAAAGAACAACTCCACAATCACAAATCAGGGAGGCCTGGGTAGAAAGCGGTTGTTCAGAAAAAGATGAGGGTTTCATGAACTACAAGCTCAACATGAGTCTCTGATGTGATGTGGTAGCCAAAAAGGATGATGCGATCTTGGGCTGCATTAAGAGAAGCAGAGCTTCCCAGGACAGGGAAGTAACAATCTCACTGTACTGTGCTCTTGTCAGATCTCATCGGAAGGACTGCAGTCACTTCTGGGTGCCAGTTTAAGGACAGTGACAAGCTAGAGAGTGACCAGGGAAGGACCGTGACTCTCATCCTATGAGGATGGAAAAGGACATCCTTACCCTGGAGAAGACTCAGTGCAGAGGCTAGCTGTCTTCAAGTATCTGAAGGGCTATCATGTGGAAGAGGGGTTAGATTTGTTGTGTTTGGCCCCAGAGGGAATAAATGGGACCGTGAGGTGTAAGTTACAAAAAGACAAAATTAGGCTTGATGTCAGGGAATAATGTTCATGATCCAAAAGCAGAATAGCCGAGGGATGGAAGCAAAGGCTGCATGACCACCTGTATTTCATGGGGGAAAAGAAGGGAACATGCCATCGATTGAGTGCCTGGCTCTGCACTGTGTGATGACCAATGTTATCGCACTCGATCCTCACAATAACCCTGTGAGATAGGTGTCATTATGATCTCCATTTTACAGTTAAGAAAACTGGGGCAGACAGGTGAAGTGACCTGCCCAGGGTCACACAGCTGGAAGTATCTGAGTGGGGATTGACGGGAATTCCTTGGTGTAGTGGTTGGCCGAGACTAGATGCCCATTCAAGTCCTCCCAACTCTTAAACTCTGCCATCCGTACGTACAAATATATTAATAGCAGCATTTTTTTCTTAAACTCTGACACCTCTCTGCACAAACGCATGTAGCAAAGAAATGGAAATAAAGTGGAAGCTCATAAACAGGGGACCAGATGAACAAAGTATTTCAATATAATGGAATGTTATTTTACTCTAAGAAATTACGAAAGGCATAGATTCAGGGAAACCTCTAAGGCTTGTGTGAACGGGGGCAGCAAAGGGAACAGCACCAGAACAGTTTATACAGTGACAACAGGGTGAAGAAAATCAGGTTGGAAAGACTTCAGAACTCGGACCAACCACAACTCCCCAAGTTTAAGAGAAAAACATGCTTCCCGTCTCTTAGCAGAGAGGTGATGGGCTGAAGAGTAAGATTATGAAACTGTTTTCCTTGATTATACTTATTAAAGGGGAGGCTTTTATCTTTATGGGAGAAGAGGTGTGTGTGTGCACGTGAAGTTATGAAAGAAAAGGCAGGATAGCAAAGTAAAAAAAAAAAAGCAGCAATGAAACATTATAAAACACACTGGAGAGCAGAAGGAATTTCAAAAAGAGGCAGAAATGTAATTCTATTCCTTTAAAAAGTGATAAGTGAATTCCAAAATTATGAAGATCAAGCAGGATTCGAAGGAAGAAATGGGAGAACTCTCCAAAACCAGCCCTTTGTGGAGGTATCCACAGGTATTACACATTGCACATGTTTTTGGACTTTTTCAAAGTAGTGATAAGCTGTGCAGACTTTTTCCTCTTCTTTTTCTGTTTTCAAAAAATACTATCTGTCATATGGGATAGCTCTCTGGGGAGGGGGATAAGGATAATGGGCAAAACTATAAAGAGATTACAAAAATCAATTAAAAACTTATTTTTAAATGCTCATTAACTAAAAAAAGTAAAATTTCATAAAAAAGAAAAAGAGAAAAAGGTGATAAGGAATCAAAATCCCATTTCATGCAAAATCCACATTCTATTCTTTGTATACTAAAATGTTCCTATGTGTTTATCTTCTGTCTGTGCCATGAAACTGTAAGCAACTGGAGAGGAGAGACTGTCTTTTGCCTTTATATCCCCAGGGATTACTTAGCACTGTGACTGACACATAGTAGGCAATTAATAAATGCTTACTGACTAATCTGTAGATGTTCCATCAAGTTCATTAAAAAACAAAACAAGAGAGCAAGAAGGCCAGTACAGTTTGCCAAGCCACTCTTGGAAGCAAAGGCAAGAGAAGTAGACTGGGCCAGGATATGAAAGGGCTTGAAATTAAACAGAGAGCAAGCCTGTAGACCAGGATTTCTTCACCAAGAGGACACACCACGCCCCCTCTCCACTCCCTGAACTTGTCATATTTTGGTAAGTTACCACATAGAGGGTGGCTTAAGGTTTGCAAAGTGCTTTACAAATATTATACTGGGATCCTCACAACAACAATGAAAGATAATTGATATTATTATCCCCATTTTACAGATGAGGAAACTGAAGCAGATATTAAGCGACTTGCCCAAAGGGGTCACACAAGTAGCAGATAACTATGTGTATACATATATGTGTGTGTACATATATGACACACACATATACACATACACGTGATACATATATGTATTATACATACATATTCTATGTAACCTATGTTATAAACTGTATATTGTGCGTATGCAAGTTAAGTATGTGTTACATATAGGCTGTACAGATAATAGATAATACATATTAGTACATATAAATCACATAAACTGGATGTATATACGCATCTACACAGATACGCTATACATTGTGTCCACTGCATATAAGCTGTATAGACATGTAATATATAAAATGCATGCTATACATATATAAAACCACAAGTATATATGTAACCACATGCATGTGTCATAGATTGCACGGGCTAATTACACGTAAGCGTATAGACAGTAGATACTTGGTTTCTGGTGTATTTTCTGCACTTCACATGACTCTGAGAGTGGATAATATGTACGCGTGTATATAAATATCACGCTTCTACATCTCCATTCACACCTATTTTAGACACGGTTGAGAAGGGCTGCCGGGTGCCCCCAGACCCGAGGGGGAGGGAGGGGACGGGGAGAGAGCAGGGGACGGCCGGACTTGAGACAGGCGGCGCCGGCCCGAGTGACACCCGGCACATGGGGACAGGCTCTCGAGGCGCCGAGCCTCCCCGCCCCCGCCCTCAGAGCGGACCCCCCGGGGAGCCCGGCTGGACAGCTGGGCTCTGACCCGACCCCCCCCTCCCCCACCCCTGCCCTCCCCTCCGCCCTCCTCCCGGGGCCCGCCGGGCGGTCGGCGCAGCGGGGGACCGCACCCCTCCCCCTCCCTCTCCCCCGCCACGGGCCCTCCCCCTCCCCTGCTGCTCCTCTCTCTCACCGTCTCGGCCCCCGAGGGCTGGGGTCCGGTGCTCTGACCCCCCATCACCCCGCGAAAGAAATTCATCTTGCCGCTCGCTCCGGGAGGACGAGGTTCCTCCCAGGCCTTCCCCAGAACCCCTACCCCCGACCTGCCCCCCAACTCCCAGGCCTAGCCCTTAAACTTCGGACCCGGCCCCCGGCCCGTCCGTCCCCACTCCCGCAGCCGCACAGCCCGGAAACCACCGCCGCGCGGGCCGACCTGCGCATGCGCGGGGACGTGGCCTGACGTGGCGGCCGGGAGGGAGGGGGGAGGGGACCGGCAACGGCTCCGGAGCTCGCGCGGCGCCCTCGGAGCCCCGCCCCTCTCCGCCGGAGGCCCCGCCCCTGACTCCGCCCCCTCCCTGAGGTGCCTTTCCAGCTATTCCCGAATTTCCTAGCCGGGGATTTCCACTTTATCCCCCTGTCTACATCTTATTCGTACAACAGTTTGCAGTTTGTCTCTCTCTTTCGAAGGATAGGGACTGTTTCTTCCAAGTTTTTATTAAGCACTTAGTATGTGCCAGGTCAAGCACTGATTAGACACCTACTAGACGCCAGGTGCTGCGCCAGGGCTGAGGATACAGAGAAAGGCAAAACAAACTGGGAGAGACCAGCGAAGGATGATTCACAGACAGAATACGTGCACAATGAACTGGAGATCATCTAAGAGGGAAGGCACCAAGATGAGGTAGCCCGGGTGACTGCAGAGCTCCTGGCACCTAGTAGGTGCTTCATAAATGCCAGCTCTCTGACTGCCCCCTGCCAGTCCTAGAGAAAGTCGTGACTCCCGAACATGTGCTGGATTGCTTTTTTCTTAAATTACCCATCTTTTTGTTTGTTTTTACCGTCCCATCCACTACCCGGGGTAGCACTGTCTTTTATGAGAAAGAATGAAAAAAAAAAGAGGAATAAAAGCAGTTTAGCCAAACCAAACAACAGAACTGGACAGCATATGCAATATCCTACTCCCTGTACTGCAGAGAAGAGAGGAAGCTTCATAGAGGTTGGGTTTTGTTTTGTTTTTTAATTCTGAAAATGCCCCAAACGAGCATTTCCATATGCAAAGTAGAACATAATAGGAAAAAGGACTGTCCATGAAACCTCTATCCCATATAGCTTACTTTTTAAAAATAAAGTATGTAATACATTCAACAAGACACTTTCAAAGACATCCCGCTTGTCCACTTCCTTCTGTGTTCCCCTCTCTTCCCTTCTATGCATTAAAAAAAAGTTTCAATGTGCCTCTTACTTTTGTACTTAATCATCTAATTAAAAAATATTGTAACAAATAAGCATAATCGAGCATGGAGGTAACACAATAGACCATCAGGATGATTGGTAATTTCCATGAAAGAGTTCTTGTCTTTTAAAGTTGTTTTTCTTCACCATGTTGTTGTCATTATGTAAATTGTTCTGATTCTTCTTTTACTCTGTATGAAGTCATCCCAGTATAAGGAGAGGATTGGCCAATGAGAGCCCAGTCATTATAGTTCGTAGAGCATGTGTCTAGATCTGCTTCTATTCTTCCCATTTTTTGGACTGTGCACAAATGTAAGAGTAATCCACTTTCATTAATTTCTAGGATTTCATTTTGTACCTTCTACTCAATAACAAGATGTATTAGTCAGTCAATAAACATTTATTAAGCATCTACAATGTGTCAGGCACTAGGCTAAGCACTGGGGTTGCAAAAAGAAGCAAAGGATTGTCCCTGCCCTCAAGGAGCTCACAATCTAATTATTGTAGTTGGTCCAAAATACAGGGCTCTTTGTGTTTTAATTTAATACAGGAGATGCAGCAAAACATTGAAATGGCAAGGACTATTATAGGTGCTCAGGCTGCTGGGTGGCATTGTGGATAGAGCAAGGAATCAGGAAGACCTGAGTTCAAATCTGACCAAAGACACTTACTAGCTGTATGATCCTGGGCAAGTCACTTAATAAGTCTGTTTGCCTCAGTATCCTCATCTGTAAAATGAGCTGGAGAAGGAAATGACAAACCTCTCCAATATCATTGCCAAGAAAACTCCCAAACAGGGTCACGGAGAGTCAGACACAACTTAACAACAACAAAAATTATAGGTTCTATAGCAGTATGCCAAATGAGATAATAAGGTTGAGGGAATTGCCTTGAATTGAAGTACAGAAGGCAGCAATATAGTAGGTTGAGATAAAATTCAGCATTCAAATATACTTGAATCTCTAGCACTTGAATCTCCTGAACAGAACCCAGAAGGTTCTGCAGCTTAGCAGAGCCGAATGGGATCAAGGCAGTCTAATTTAAAGGCAGTGGAAATTTAAAAGCAATGTCATTCTGCTGCTCTGCTGGCCAAGAAGATCTGATCCCCTTAGCCATAGCTACTACAAAATAAATATTCTGAATCTTATATATTCATTGATCTAATACCACTATGACATTCATCTGCAAATCGTATTTCCTATTCTTTGTCTGACCCAACAAATCTTATCATGAACCTCAGTTATGACCTCATTTCTAATTTTTTTTGTACACACTGAAATTGGATGTTTTTTAAGGTAAGAAAGTCCACTAATCCCCTATTCCACACCAAAATATTTTGCATTATTCCAGGAGCACTTGTATATGAATAGATTAGTCTCACTCACACATCAGGATGGTCTACTCTATTTCACTCAAGAACCTTGAGTCAGGGGCCTAGATTCCCTTAACATGGTGTGGAAGGTGCATTGAGTAGCCACACTCCCAACCTGAGAACCTCCAGGCCATAGGTCAGAAAGAATTCTTGACTCTTTCTTTGAACTGCCAGGCCAGCTTTGATCTGTGAAGTCATCATGAATGGCTCACAGCTGGTAGTTCCAGAAATTCTGGACCTCTGCTCCACTGGAATGTCTCAGCATGTTAAGCAATCTCACTCTTTAATGAGGAGAGGAGAGGTCTGTGGTTGCCTCTGGAAGAATCTCCATGGAGCTGATTCAATTAGGCTCCCGTCTTTAGGACAGTGACTTTTTCTAATTATATTGACTAATGGTCTTTTCCTTGACTTTCATATCTATTCCAGACTGAAAATGCAATACTGACTTTATATAACACTGACTTCCCTGACCCTCAGTGATGGTTTCCCCCCAGGAGTAGGGGGTAATGCTGTGCATCTCAGTTCCATTCAACCTCTAACAGTTGGATTAGCTTTTACAAAGGAATATTTACTTCAAAAGGTATAATCACAAACACACAAATTTACTCCCCCAACATAGAGGAGGTATAATTCTACCCCAACTTCTTACCACCTCAGTCTCTGTGGATTAGGGTGATAGCTTAGCTCAGTTCCTATAGAATACAGGCCCAAGTATCAACTCCTAAACTCTCTTTGGGCTCAGTTTTTGGCTTCTCAGGGCTGACAGTTGCAACATCTTGCCTGTGTGACCTCTGTCCCAAAGCCCACTGTTATGGGATTCTCTCATTCTTGATTGAGATGAATGCCCTGCCCTGTGTGAGACATGGGGTGGAGTTGGTGAGAGGCCAGAGAGCTCCAGCCTTCACCAGTCCCCCTTCTGGACTCCTCAAGGCCAGTCCCCTTTGGGACTGGTCAAACTTCAAGTCTCCTTCAATCAGAAAGTTGCTTTGGGCACTCCTGGCTTCCAGCTTTAAGAGAGAAGGTGGAAGAGGCCAATCTCACTTCAAGTTGGTATAGGGAAAGTCTCTGGGAAGAAAAGAGAGGACCCAGCAGTCTCCATCATGTCTCTGTTCCCAGGTTGTTATTCTAGAGACTTCAGGGAGTTTTCCCTTGGGTGAGATCCAGGACCTTCTCTTGGTTGAGCTGAGTTAGCTTGCTCCCAACGGGAGAGCTCCTTCATTTTGTGTCATCTGGTACATATTCTCCTATGTACACCTTCTCTGATTTCTGTTTTGCTAAGATTGGGTTTCTTTGCTATTTGCTATGTGTGTTCACTGTGAAACTGGTATTAGGTGGGAAAAGGGTCAAGCCTTGGATATAGAGCTTGGGACCCTGATAATTAAAAATGGTGGTCAGAGGTTAGAGTGAACCTCATCATATCATCTAGACTAACAACACTCAAGGAAGCAGATGAATATAATTTTAGCCTAGGATTCACTCTTTCTGAGGAAGATAGAGCAGCTTCCTCCTCTTCCTCCTGGCAGGAATTAGTCTCCCTAGGAGGAGGGTGGGGGAAGAAGAGGCTGGAGAGGTCTATTCTGACATGGAGCCTCACTATACATGTGGGGCTCACTCCCTACACCAAGCGTACCCATGGCTCAAATTCCTGGGTCCAGTGGGATCGCACCAGCACCTAATGCTGAGGACAAATGACCTCAGAACAGAAACAAACATCCTCAGGCCATTTTGTGGAGGGGGGGATTTTGCCACCCCCCCAGTTCAATTCTTGGTGACCCCATTGTGGGTGAACTGTCTGTTATTTCCTCCCTCTCGGTATAGCAGGAAGAAGAGAGACTCTCCCAGTCTGGCAGTTTTTAAAGATGCAGTCAATGAAACCAATTCAAAAAATCTCCTCCTTATCCCTTTGGTAGGGGAACACTGTTAAGTAGGGTTCCTCCATGTAAGGTGATCTGGGCATGTACAAGGCTGCTCCTATTCCATCAACCACAAAGGTATCCAGTTTAATTTGGCTCGCTTCTCCCAGGCAGAATGGACACTCAGGTACCAGTCTAACTTGTGTCAATCAGATAGTTGTCCTCTTAGGAAGCAAAAGATTGTAAAGAAAAGGGTCATTAAAAAAATCCCTAGTATAACATTTGTAACAGTCTACCTTCTTTCTCAATTTTAGATTCTGTAACAAAATAGAAATAACAGTCCCATCCAGGGGTATGCTATAGCCAGTTCATAAGGACTCTCCAAGGAGTTGATTGTTAAGTTTTCAGAACATTTACATCTCAGAAATCAGCAAACACTACAAATCATCATTTGAATTATTGTTTTATTGATTGTCTAGATTTTTAAAAATTTTTATTAATTTATTTTGATTTATCAACAGTCACTTCCATATGCTTTTGAGTTTAGAATTTTTCTCCCCCTTCCTCCCCACTACCCTCCTCAAGATGGCGCACAATCTGATATAGGCTAGACATACACATTCCTAGTAAACACAT